ACTACTTTGTTGCAAAGCAAATGTCAATTGTCCCAATCAGATTGGCGAGGTAGAGGATAAGTTTGATCAAGAAAAAAAGTTGGATCATTTAATAATAGAATTTTTTCGTGTGCTAGTTCGGAACATGGAACATGAACCCTAGTCAATTAATTGGGTGAACAACCTTATCTTTAGATTAACATATTGATAATAAAAATAGCATACTGATTTACTAACATCAGACATTAAAAATATGGTATACATCGTCCAACGTCCAGGCATGCCGGCTCTCTATCTCTTTTCCTTCTTCTTTTCTTGGCATCAATGACTGAGATTGTGACCCAAATTGATTGCCTTCATGAGAGTTTTCTAGAATGTGTTGATTAATAAAATAAATTGGTTAGATTTTGCATCATAAATAGAGCATACGTAGCTACTCATAAATTAATTTAAGTACAATGCACATAAACATCATAATATATGTGTTGTTTGTAGGCTAGTAATGTTTTTTTGCGAGGAAGGCTAGTAATGTTTTACTTCTTCCCCGCAACCCATTTTTAAAATTGTGGACCATTTTGGCTTGAAGTTCTAAGTTGATATTAGCCAACTATGATATTTTGTGTGTCTCTTATTAGATGATTATCATACATAGAATCATTTATGTCTTAAATCATGGTGGTACATTTTTTTTCATAATTACCTTTGTTTAATAAAGTAGGTTATTTTTGTTTATTATATTCTTTTTTAATATTGTTATTGTGGTACCCCTAAACATACTTTGAAATAAGCCTGAGTGAGTTAATTAATGCCAATGCATGTATCGCTAGTATCATGTTATTCATATATACAATTTAGGAAGCAAAATAATGATATTAAAGTAAGAGTACTACTATACACACCATATTTTTTTTGACTTCGGTATAACTTCGTATATCAGATTTCGTCGATGTCACGTGAAAAAGCATACCATGTCGGTAGATTAATAATTGTACTGTCGAGGATTAGAGTAATTTTACTTGAATGCAATTGTCGTTACTCCTCCGTAGCATCAATGTTTCGGTCAAAATGATGTATATGGTGGTAGCCAAGTTCCTCCATACCATCTCCAATATGTCCGTCTTAAGGACGTCAGGCATGGCATCCTTTTTTCTAATCTGGAACAATAGCTTCATTGAGATTTGGCATCGGTGGTTTATTATTCACTCGTATGAATTGGGATCAACAATGCTTGGAGACAGTTTATTTTTGTTCCACGTGTTGGCAATATATATATATTAATCTTCCAGTTTTCACCTTTTTTGCGGGAATCCAGTTTTCAGTATGAGTTTGTGAGGGACACAAACTGAGGTAAATCCAACCTGATAACAAAAATATATAGCATCAAATCCAGCAACGTGTGCATGTCCGGAGAACAAATGCATGCGTACACTAACACGCCCGTGTGATGAACTCGGAGATATTTACCTCTATGTGAAGATCCAAACCCAATCAATTGTAAACCAGTCGACACCTGTGCACACTATCTCCCAAACCAGCCGCTTTGCTCGTCGTGCTGGTGCTCCACGTGTCGTACACGTTCGCTCGCGGAGTCAATCTCACCAATTTTCTCTTCGCTAGCAGGTCGTGTCCATCTCCCCCAATTTCTCCCTCTTTCTTGGCACCACGGCTCTGCTCTGCTCCTGCCTACAGCGCGGGACTGGGTCCGGAGAGGAGATTTCTTTATCCTGTACGGAGTGCGCAGGCGGCGGAGGGAAGGCAAGGACGGTCGCTTTAGCGCCGTCCTGGTTGCGGCGGTTCTTGGGTTGTTGGCAGCGGCGGCATAGGAGACGGGGAGGTGCTAATGTCTGTCGAGGCGGGCTTCGGCAACGCCGCTAACACGCTCGTCGACTGGGACGGCGGGTGCGACCACTGTGCCAGGCAGGGGTCGTCGCCTGTGACACCAACTCCTTCACCGTCCTTCGACTGATGGTGATTCTCTACTCCTCCTCCTCCCACCCACCCCTCCCTTTTTAGTGTCGCAGGGGTCTTCAAGCTGCTCCGCTGCTGCACAAGCTGGCAGGCTATTTCTCTTCTTTGGTTGCTTCCTCGCTCGCTGGTAGCTAGGATGATTAGCTGGAGCACTGTGATATATAGTCAGAAAAGCATTTGGTAGGATTATCATTGTCTTATCATTTAATTCCCCAACTACCGGCCTAATACTGAAGGTCGCAATGCAACTACTTGGTACAACATAGGATAAGAAATGCCTAGTGCAATCTTAATTATGTGGTTACCATCGTTGATTCTTTTTAGGAAGCTCAAAGGAAGCAAGACTGCAACAAAAATCTCTGAATGCACTCCAAGCTTCTGTACGGCATACGTCGTTTTGAAGGGCAAACTGTCATTTGTGCACTCAGCTACATCTGATCCCTGCGAAATACCCAAGACCATATCTTCTTCAAATGTTTCTTCATTTAGCTCCAGAAGCCTTTCCAATGCGCCCTCAGGTAATACTCAAGTCTGCATTTGATTTTGGTTCCTGAAAATTGTTGATACACCTATTACCTGAATACAAACAAAAAATGTATTAGAGTGTTACTAACTATTTTGTCTACAACAGAGTGGGATGACAGAAATGGAACAATAGTTGTATTATTCCGCCAGTCATCTCTGTCATCGCAGCATGATCACGCACTCGCAAATATAAACAGGTCGGCCAATAGGGGAGCTAGCCCTTCAGGCAGTGCTGGCCGCGAGATCTCTTACCATGTTGATACAACCCTGAAGACAAATTCACACTCAATCGCATCAGTAGCGCAGCTCAGTAACAGCAGCAGTGGGGATTAAATTTACAGGAGCTTCCAAGGAGATAGCTTCCAAGATATCTCTGATCTGCAGGCAGCAGTTTCAGAAACTGCAACAGACCTGAGGCATTCTCATGACCAGGTAGTCGTTTCACCCTGGGCAAAAATATTTCATTCTATTGGGTACAAACTTATTTTTTCTTTTAAGATGATGGAAGAGTTCATCTCTAGGCCTCAGCATCATACGATGGACACTGCCAAAGACAAATATCACTACATGAAAGCTAACATGTTTACCTAAATGAATGTGCAGAGAGTATGAAGGTCAAACTGTGACATCTTCAGAAGCTTGTGCAATTTATGATCTTTTTTGGCTCAAGATGATGATCTGAAGCTTCAAATTGAGAGTATGAAGGTCAAATTGTGACATCTTCAGAAGCTTCATGATGTTTCTCAGAATGAGCCGGTTGACTCCAATCAGAAAGTAAGATTTTTAACTATCTGGAGTATTCAGTAACCTACCAAGATATTAACTATGTCTTCTTGAAATCTTTTGTTAGTTACCCGACAACTTGGGCATCTGGCGTGTCGAGGACGGAAAATAGCTTAGAGAGATTGACCTGACAGAAGAAATTGTGAAGAGATTGGTAAGACAAATGGAAAGAGAAGAAGAGCAGGTGGCCGAAAGAGAAGCTCAGCCTAAACAAAGCTCTTTATTGATGAATAATACACCTCGTCTTTATCCATCCCAATACATGGTTTGTTCCATGACCTAAAATTGTGAAACCAGACCAGATAGAACCGTGCATGGTTATGAATTAAATCACACACTTTGTTCAAGCAACGTGAACTCAACCTTGACTCGGTGGAGTGGTGAGATTCTAGGACACGGGGATCCAATATTATTGGAGGAGCACCGAGGTTAATGCCCTGCTTTATGATCTTTTAGCTGATAAATTCCATACCTTCATCTAACTTGCATATTTTATAATGATTGTCTTATTTTATTTTTGGCATTTGCATTCCATCATGCCATTAAATACTTCACACCAAGTTAAAAACTATGAACATTTTCAGAAGATCATTTGAGCCTTACTTCTATTTTATACAATTGCTTTTCCAAATTCCTTTTGAGCCTTTAGAAAAATATCATGCATTTTTGTACATAAATTCTGGTCCCCAAACTTTGCCAATAATTCTTTTATCACTTTACCAACCTCCACAAAAATTCAAATGAGTTTGAGTTTAAACCTTGCATTGCCCATTTCCAATTTTCTTTGAACAATCACATTTTTTCGAGTCCAGAAAAATAGTACCTTCCCAAAAGATAATTCCTAAGCCTCTCTATTTTATAATATTTCTCTATTTATATTTAATAATAGAAACAAGATAGGATTTGTTTGAGTAATCTAGAAAAAAAGATAGGAGAATTAGGAGAGAGAGAGAGAGAGAGAGAGGGAGAGAGAGAGAGAGAGAGAGAGAGACAGCAGTAGCAGCAGCCACTAAACCGGCTGACCCATTTGTCCTAAATCCCAGCCCAGGCGTACCTTAACCTAGCTAGCAGATCGATCGTTGCTCAAAAAAAGCTAGCAGGTCGATCCCCTGCCTCAGAAAAATGGATCGATCCCCTCGCTCTCTCCCACCTCGCGCCGTCAGGGAAGCGCCCCATGTGCGCCGCCCGATCCGCGGCACCTGCCGGCACAGCCCGACCCCCGCGAAGCTGCACCGCCCTCGGCCTCGCTATTCCTCCCCTCACCTTTGTGCTCCTCCTCTCATGTTGCATCGCGCCACCATGTCCGAGCCGCTTGCCTCCGTTCCGATGACGCTCGTGGACAGCACCGCGCTGCCGCACCTCCTGCTCCCGTCGCCGTCTGCTACAGCAAGCCGCCGCCTCGTCTCCCCTCCTTTCTCCAGTTTTCTCCTCCCCCCATCTCCCCGTTTCCTTTCCGGCAGGAGCCCAGATGCCAGGAATTAGCCCGAGAAGTTGCCCTTCGGCTTTAATCGTCGTCACCGGCGACCCCCGTCCTCACCGCTCGCCTCCGAATCCTCCCCACCCCGTGCCGTGCACGGATCCATTCGCTGCAAGCTCCAGCCGTTGCCGCCGTTCTGCAAATCGCGGGTTGAATAGATGAAAACACATGGTCCTGTTTGTAAATTTGAAATGTTTTTTGACTGACTAAAACCTGTAGTGCGGGTTGATTCCAGAGAACTATAGGGGGTTTTATGTAAATATGCGCGACGGACGAAAGAAACTCAATTTGCTTTAGGGGTAAAGATATGGACACCGGAGTGCACGTCACTGGAACTCGGGTAACTCGAAGCTGCCAGCATAACGACAATGTGTTTGCACTAGGGATAGGGAATCGGAGTTTCCAAGGGATTAAACATGAGTAATTGATTTTAAATGTCATGCATGTATTTTGCATGTGGAGGCAATAAGAACTGAGAATTTAAGAGTGAGTTAACTGCGCCTAGGTTGGTGGGATTATGCTAGGAAATAAAGTGCTTCCAACGACACCTTCTTTTCCGCATGTATCCAACTAACATATACTTTTTTGTCACTTTTCAATCCTCACTTCAATACCAGGGGTCCCTCGGAAGAGAGCTCGGGGAGTTGGGCTCTTAATTCCTCTTCCCCATCCCTCCTTATTTCCCATATCCCTCAGATAATCAAATGATTGTAAGTCTCATGTACCTTAAACTCCCATCCCTATTCTCCAACTGCCCCAACCAAACATGCTGAGTGGAAGAGATAAGGAAGTGATAATAGTTATCTACTACATGTAGTGCATGAATGGATTGATATATGCCAATTGATCTACATGTTAAGCCTCTAATGCAATAGGTGCAAATGTGTCATGGCGTGCTGGAGCTAGGACACAAACACATGGTCAATAAACCTTCCCATGCAACCGACCCTGCCCGAGATGCCGAACCATAGTTAGGACTAGATCACTATTTCTACTATCAAATGGAAAACATGAACATAAATAGTTAATATAAGACTCCTGCACCGCAATGGCGGAACTACATGATTCTTAGTCCACAATTTGACTGTGAGATGAATTGGCAGTGTTAGAAAATTGTACTTGATGTGCTTCCCAAGAATAGATGAAGTTTCCAACTTTTTATGGTCTCCGATACAAAAATTGATCAATGATTGTTATATGCAAGTGCAAATACATGAATATGAAAATCTTATATTGTGATTATTTTTCAGATGTAAATTTATTAAATAGTTTCTACATATGCAATCAATGCTGCTAGGTTTATTTTACCAACTTAAGTTTTTAAGCACAAATGTTTGGTTTTTGTGTTTCAATTTCTACATGTAAAAGTTTTTAATATGCATTTAGGTGTCTTTTACTATACTATTTAAAAATCCAGACATTTGTATATGTTTCTTAGCAAACCGAGAGAGAGAGAGAGAGGGAGAGAGAGAGAGATGATAGTTGGAGTTTACATCAATGATTAATAAAGGTACTTCATGTACGAGCTATAATGTGAGACCTCCTATAGTCCATCTCATCTGGGTCATCAATGGGTAACTAAGTAGGGCACGTACAAAGGGAGATAAACTGGATTCGAGGGCATGTAATCAACGTTATTTGATGATCTTGTCAACGGCCGTCCTCCTCCTTTGGCTCTTCTTAGTAAACTTTACACTGATAACTCATCCTTTTGGAAGGACAAACTAACTTGGGCAATGTTGCCTTGTTCCTTCTGGGAATGTATTTTTACCGCCGTTTTCTTCTTTTTGGTCACCATATTGATCAAAATGTTCCTCGTCAGCGACTCCTTCCATTCCAATTATGCTCCTTTTGCCTCTCCCCGTGACCACCTAGCTCGACCTAGCCGGGTGGGTTATGTAGAAGGATTTGGCCACTTTATAGGTTAATACCCATGGTCCATTTTGGGCGTTGATTCTTTTCACATTATTCTCAGTCTTTGTGGGTATACACATGGTTATGAAACCGCGGTCTTTGATCATGCCATTATTTTCCCATTTGATACGAAACATTGCTTCCTACTAATCCTAGAGTAGTCAAGTTCCTAGATTTCTTCGAGCATGTCGTAGTATCTCTCTTTGTATTACCGGTTAAGGCCTGCATCGCAGAAAACATTGTGCCTATATTTTGGAAAAAAATTCTTAATCATGCATTTGGAAAATGTCAAATATGTATAGAAAAATATTTTTGCTGTATAAGAAAAATATGCAACGTTTCTCAAAAGAATTAGATACCAAAACATACATATATGAAAAAAATATTAATCATCTATTTAAGATATACTAAATGTGTATAAAAATGTTCATCATGTATACAAAAAATGGACAAGGTGGGAAAAAATAGATAAATAATATGTTTTGAAAAATATTAATCCTATATTAAAACAAAGTGATGAAAAGGACAAACATCAAAACATGTGTTAAAAAAATATTAATCATCTATTGGAAATATGTTAAATGCATACATAAAATGTTTATATTTACTTAAAGATGTACAATCTCTACGAGAAATATAGACATCACAACATTTATTTCAAAAATTAATCATGTAATTGATTTTTTTAAATTGTGTAAACATATACCTGATGTACATGAAAATGTATAACTGTGTAGAAAAAACACTGAGCAAAATGAAAACAACAAAAAATAAAAAAAATTATAATCATGTATTTAAAAATGTAAAACTTGTATAAAAAATGTTCCTAATGTATACAAAATGTACAAGGTCTATGTAAAAAAGTAGGTTAATCATATATTGGAATAATGAAAAATGTAGTATAATAAAATGTTTATATGTATATAAAAATTTATAATGTCTATGGAAATGATAGACATTAAAACATGGATTTAAAAATGGTTAATCATCTATTGGAATTTTTTAAATATTTACAAGAAATGTTTTATATTTATATTAAAAATGTACTATGTATATGGAAAAGATAGACTTAAAAACATGTACTTTAAAATAAATGTACAATGCGACGGTGTATCAGCTTCCGGTTCTGGTTGGCCTCACGTGCGTTGGGATGCAGAAT